ATTCTTCTAATTGTGAATAAAATTATGCCCCCCTAGCCCCCCACCCTTAAACCTGAGGGAAAACAGACACAGGCATTAGTCACAACCATCTGAAGCATCATGAGTTGTGCAGAAGACTTAGCATTGTCTGTTTGGTCAGACGTTTAATAAAGGTACTGCAGAAAGCCATAGAATTTCAGTCCTCTTTAATTTTTTTTTTTTTTTTTCAATGTAAGGTAATTTCTGGTCTTAATACAGCGTAAATTACTCTTAATTAGCCAAAAGTTATTAGCTAGAGTATATGGATTCAAATAATTGTTAGATTTTTTTGTAAATATATCAGCCATACCAAAGTTACTGAAATGTTGCTGTTCTGATTGGCATGCGTATCCAGAGTTTTGCCTGCCCTTACTCCTTCTCTTTAAAACAAATACCTTTCTTTTCTTTGCAATTTGAGTTCTTGGGAGAAAAACCCAAACTTTAAAATTTAGAATGTACCACTGAGTTTACAAACATTGCATTTCTTTTTCTGTATATTAATGTAGAGAGGAGAGAGAACTTTCATTTAGGAAGTGGGCTCAATTCCAAAAGCAATTTCGGTTTCATCACTTTGATCAAGCAATCTAGATCTCATTGTTCTTGTTGTTTTCCTTCTAAAACATGAATATTTTTAAAATGAGATATAGTAAGCCACAGCAATGAGGAGATAGTTAGGCTAGTGTATGTAACTTAGTCTGTTCACTGGCATCGCTCTGGATATACTTTTCTCTCTTAAATGGGAGAAGTACTGTCAATTTAGCCACCAGCTTGCAAAGCACGTGAGGTTTGGTCTAAGATCACTAAGCAAAAACTTAATCTAATTCCATGTTTAATCTATAAAAGGCAATGTTAGGCTAAATATTTGAGGGTTTTAATTGATAAGCATAAGAGAACTGCCTGACAAACAAAGCTGTTCTCGCACTAATGGAGAAGATATTATCAAAATATGCTCTAAATATAAAGTAAATTAATCTTATCAACCTTTCTGAGGTTAAATTTAAAACATTTCTTTTGTAGCCTGCTTTGAGTATATTGTGATTAGAACTCATTCCCTTTGGTATAAGGAATAGTGTTTGGGTTTTTTATCCTAACATCTTTCAAATATAGACTGCTTCGCATTGAGCAGTTTCTTTCATTCTTTTCTATTTTTGTGTGTGTTTAAAACACAACGATAAGAAGCATTTGTCTGGGGCGTGAGGTTTATGTGGACCACTAATGTCAAAGCACTGTGGTGTCTGATGCCAAACATGCTTTTTAAAACCAAGAGACTTCTTGGTGGTGATGGTGACAAATATGTTTGTGCCAAAAATTTGCTACTGCTGGCCTACATACTTATATTCAGGTCTCCTGATCCTGCATTGAAAGTTTGTCCTTACTGCTCCTTAATTTTCTTCCTGCACTTTCCTTGTATTATATCTACAGTTACTGATCTCTCTTTCTGTTCAGGAATGAGCACCTTTGCGTAGATACAGTTAAAATGTTTTCATTGTTCTAAATAGAAATGCTGCCTGAAGTTCTCAAAGGAGCAATAAAGTTGATCTTACATCAAATTAGTTAGGTTCTAACATAAATTGTTAGAATTTAGGGTGCAGATATGTAGACAGAAGGATGCAAATTAGCCCTAAGGCCACCAATCTGTACAGGCTATCTATAGTAGTAGAATGCACCTTTAAATCCTGGTTCTCAGTCTTTAACTGGCATAGTGCTTCTTAGAGAGTCAAAGTGGATTTGGGCTTTTTTTTTTTTTTTTTTTTAAGATTTAAAGCAGTACACATTTTAATTGGTCTTTAAAAACTAGGAAGATGCAATTCAAAGGTCTTGACTCGAGCGTGTTCTGATGGGTGGCAGTCATATAAACACACACATACATAACTAGCAGTGTCTATCTGTGGGCTTTGTCTTGTCTGAAATTACTGTAAATGTGTCATCTCTGAGTGCACGTTAATGTACCTTAAAATTCCTTGTCTCAAGAACGGAAGGGATCTCAAAGTCATTTACAGACACTGTGGGACGTTGTTTTCTAAGCTAACCTGCCCCTTTGCTCTGGCATTCAGTCAGTATGGGTGGAACCACTAACATGAAGGAAGGCACATGGTAGTGGAAAGCAGGTAAAAGTTGTGTGCTTCCTAGGCTAGGCAGAAAAAGTATGTGCCAGAATAGCCACCACCTCTTCTCCCCAGTGTTACAAACTGTTAACAAATACAGGAAATGTACTTTGCTAAAAGCAGTGCAGTGTGGAGATCTACCATATTGTTCATGGTATATTTTGCTTCATTACTTGTTTCTCAAAGCATTTAACTCAATTTTGGGTGATTTAGATTGTCATTTGAAGTGTAATTTATTATTTTTATTTTTTTTTTTTAGTATACTTCATATAGAAGATGCTCGACAAATCTGTATCGTGTTTGTGTTCACTTGTGCAGTGAATCAGTGTTAAATGCTTTATGAAGCAAAAACTAATTCTGTATTTTAAGTTTTTTTTTTTTTCTTGTACAACCTTACTGCTCCATGATGCAGTAGAACTTCAGTCACAGGTTTCAGTCCCTTGCAGATGCTCATAAAATAGTAACAACTTGTCATGAAGTTCTTGAGCACCTTTAAAAGTTGCATACTTGTTCAGAGAGTTTTTTTTTTCTGTTCTTGTAACATATCAAAAGACATAAACTTCATATGGAAAAGAAATGCTAATTCCTAAAATTTCATAAAGATTTAAATTATTGTGATTTGAAGTTCTACTACATAGTATATGTTTTGTCTGTACTAGAAAATTAGTGTTTCAAGCTGACAAGTTCTTGCTCTTTTTTGACAATTTTTCAGGGAACATTTCAGGTTTTTGGCAAGTCTGTTTTTTTAAATCTTGTTATGAGGACACATCTGTGACTTTGCAGTACAGTCCTTGAGAGAAAGCTCCATTCATGGGAAATATGCTCTTAGAGCAGAGGACTTAAAGCTGGGATTCCAGTGGTCTGGTTTTGGCTCTGTAAAATATTTGTCATGTGGTAGTACTGAATGGTATGTATTTTGGCTTTCCAACGGTGCTGAGGGTATCCAGCTTCCATCGAGTTCAGAGGTTTTCTTAAAATTTGGCCTACTGACTTTCCATACATACTTCATTGGTATATGAAGTTGGTAAATATTCATTAGCTATTAAGAGGCCTGCCTGTGTGAAATACAGAAATAAATATCTTTCATGCAGTTGTTTCCGTGTTAGATGTATACACAAGATTTTTTTAATATATACTAACTGGTGACTCTGGTCAAGCTCTGCTGTAACACACGGACTTTTTACAAACAATCCTTATTTCTTGTGTGATTGGTGATTATTTCTTTTTAACCAACTGGTGGCATACTTTGACATAACTTTCAACCTGTTCATACAGGTTTTACTATTTGGAAATGCTAGTTCTTTTTAAATGAGCTTTATATAAAAGTATTTTAGAAGGTGAACTTGTGCTACTGAAAGATATCTTTCTGTGCTGGAAATACACTGGTAATACTTTCTTATATAAAACAGAACAGAGATGACCTCTGTCACGTAATCTTAAAAGTAAAATAAATTACTAGGTCTGTAGGTAAAGTGCTAAGAGTTCTACAGTTCTATAGCAAGTTCTCTTGTATCAAACACTTTGCTTTCAGGTATTCTGCAACTAAATTTAAAGAAAGTATCTGTGTAAAAATGATGGCTTTTTTGAATTAGTATGAAGTTGCAATTCAGAAGATCAGTATTTTAAATATATTTGTAAATAAAGACAGAGTAAGGAAGGCAATTTTAACATCAGCTTTATAGTGCAGTGCAATAGTGCTTTTACTTATGCAAAGCTTACACAATATGTAATACTCCTTTTCTCCTTTGAGTCTGTTAGGTAAATGTTATGCAACTTGCACATAAAATCACATCTTAAGATAATACAACTATATGACATAACAGCAATGATTTAACACGAAACACGCTTTTGATTAAATAATTTTGTTTTGCAACTAAACTTCAAATAGCGAAACCACTATCCTATGTTATGTGTTGAGGTTGCAGAATTCAGTTGTTCAGCTCACCAAAAGGCCAACTCAGTCTTTCACCAGTTCAGAAACAAACTGTATTAATAAAAAATAAAATATTCTCAACTGCTTTTAAGTGCAATAAAAAAACAGATAGCTGAGATAACTGATACAGTGATAAGAAAAAGATAAAGCTGTAAGATCATTCAAAATAGTCTATTGTTAGAGAATGAAGTTCAGATGTGCTAAAATTGTTAGTATGAATGATGCCTCCTCTCTGAGGGTCTTGACTCTCTTTGCAAAAGCTGTTTAGGCAGCAGAAGTCAAAGAAGGTAGATGAAGACACTTGAGTTGCAGAAGCCACACCAAAAGCCAGCTTTAGTGGAGAACAGAACACTGATTCCCTCAGTCCTGGCCATGCAGTGGGCCTTGCTGTGTTTGTGCTCTTTCCTCTCTGAAGAGGAGTTTAAAATTTTACATTACTTTCACTGAGGATTACAAGACTTAATCCTTTTTTTATTTCCCTGTTTCAAGGTAACAAGAGACAGTTAAAATGTGATTATTTTTTTCCTAAAAGTTTATTCTTTGAAGCCTAATGTAATTTTAAATTAAAACCATCGTAGTAGCAAGAACAACTTCAGTTTTGTTTTTTCCCTTTTTTGGGGTGGTCACTGCTTACACTTTTCCTTGCTTTTTCTTGAGCTATCTACTGATCATGAAAATGTTTGGTTTGGTTTGGTTTTGGGGTTTTTTTTGATTTTTTTTTTTTTTTTTTTCTCAATTAACTGGCAGAGGATGTTGTTATAGTAATCAGTGGTGGGGTTCCCAGATGAATGAAAAAAAAAAAGCTAATCTATCTCACAGAAAGGCGATGATGATATGTAGATAAAAAAAATGATAGCATGGATTTTAACAGCTTTATCAAGTAATATATTAAGGTGTTACTACATCCAAGTTGGAATACTGTCAAATTCTATGTTTATATACAGGAACTTGACGAGAGGAGTTGGTAGATTTAGAGAGTTACTAAGAGCTGTCGAAACAAGAACTACACAAAATCTGCGAATGGTAAGTTATATTAAACCACATTCCTATTACAACATCTGAATTTTAGTAGGCAGGTAAAGCATAAATATAGATAGTGGATGAGTTAGAGACAAATAATCAGATACACAGCATATTGATCAGGATCTGTTATCCACCACTTTATAGGGTTATATTTCCTGGCTTAAGTGAATGATTAAAATAAAAAGGAATGTTTGATACCCAGTCTCTCCCCTATTTCTCTTTCCTATTTGTGGTTATGCTTAAAACCTGATTGGTCTCTGACCATACTTTCAACCTTAATCATAATTGCTCTATTTATGACTTACCATAGTTTCACATGGGTGTTGTTTCATCTTTTTGTAATGTAATGGGAGTGAGGACAGAGTGCAGTTTTTATTTCTATTAAGTTGGAAGTTATGTTTTCTTTATTTTTGTGATAAAGCCTCTTAAGGAAAACAATAAAAGCAAAATCATGAAGATTTGTTATTTATATTGTCAGAAAAGAAACCTTTACCAAATGAGTGGTGGAATTTTTTTGTGTCTTTTTTATAATAAAGAGCCAAGGCTTATATCTTTTGCTCTAAGGTAAAGATTTTCAAAATGTTCTAGATTAGTTTCCAAATACTAGGCCTTTAAAAATTCCAAAGTGATAATAAGGAAGGTAACTTAATTTGTTTCTTAATTAATTTAATAACTGATTCCTCGTAAAGATATTAAAATTATTAAGTAATAGACTTTCTATGGAGAGAGATAATATTGCAGACTTTAACAGAATAAAAGATGAAGGGCTTCTTATGGTATAGGAATTAAGGTGGAAGATATAGATCATATGGTGCAGCCCATGGCTTAAACATTACACATCTGTTGCTGGGAAACACTGCCAATTCCGATGTAAATGTAGATCTAGCCTTCCTTCTACTGCCCTGGTACTAATCTCTGAGTTTTCATCATTGTGATATATAGTCATGCAGCTTGTATGCGTGTGTATTAAACATTAAAGATTAATGTTTATTATACATAAAGATTAACCTGTGATAGTTATGGATTGTAGGATGACTTCAAAGCTTTAAATTAATATTAATAACTTAAATTATACTTGTGTAAGTATCTCTACGCTTAAATATATGCTACCAAGAATAGTTGGTCAGTATAAACTTTTTCATGTTGATCTACAACTTTGATTCACTCTTGCTGAGCCTTACCAACAGTAGCAAGCACCAGTGCCTTCAAGTACAAGTTGTCAGAAGCCCCAGCCAGTGAGGTTTGGACTGTAACTGTCTGTGGTGGGTTGACCTTTGACTGGCTGCCAGAGGCCCACCCAGCTGTGCTCTCACTCCTCTTCCTCAACATGACAGGGAGAAAATAAGATAGAAAAGCTTGTGGGTCGAGGTAAAGACAGGGGATTTGCTTACCAGTTACCGTTGCAGGCAAACCAGACTCGGCTTTGGGGAAATTAATTTATTGTCAGTTAAAAGAGAGTGGGATGGTGAGAAGCAAAGATAAAAACTAAATCACCTTTCTCCAGGTTCAACTTCAATCCTTCATTCCTGACTCTTCTACCTCCTCTCCCTACCCTCCCACTCCCCAGGTGGTGCATGGGGTGTTGGAGGGTTGTGGTCAGTCCGTAACAGTTCCTCTCTGCTGCTCCTTGTTCCTCACACTTTTCCCCTGCTGCAGCATGGGGTCCCTCCCATGGGCTGCAGTTTCTTCAGGGAATATCAACCTGCTCCACCAAGGTCTTCTCAACAGGCTGCAGCATGGACAAATGCTCCACTGTGATCCTTTCTATGCACTGCACGGAAATATCTGCTCCACTGTGGTCTCTCCCATCTGCTCCAGGCCTGCAGAGGCAGTAGAGGTTATTGAGCACAAAATATCTGAAAATATACCTGAATGTGCTCCACTCTTAGGAGCAACCATTGCTGGTGTTGATACTTCAGAAGTATCTGTGTTTAACTGATAAAATTGAAAAATTGTTTGTTATTGCCACTTCTTTTTCTTAGTGTTTAGAGAATTAAACTATGTACTTCTACCTCTCAAACAGCAGTATGCCTCTTTTTTGGATGTTTTAAAATAACAATATATATTCTACATGACTTGTCTTCATTAGAAATAATCCAAGTGGTTTTTAAGAGTTTGTATTAAGCATTTCTAAGGAAACTATTTATCTTTACCTAGAGGCTGGTCAAGCACTGGAACTGGCTTCCTAGAGAGGCAGTAAATGCCCCAAGCCTGTCAGTGTTTAAGAGGCATTTGGACAATGCCCTTACCAACATGCTTTAACTTGGTCAGCCCCTGAACTAGTCAGGCAGCTGGACTAGATGATCATTGTAGGTCCCTTCCAACTGAAATAGTCTATTCTGTCTTTCACTTTTACAGACAATAGCAAGGCAACTGGCTGAAATATTGTTACGAGGCATGTGTGAACAGAGTTATTGGAACCCACTGGAAGATCCTCCTCACCAATCACCCCTAGATGATCCTCTTCGAAAAGGTTCAAATACTAAGAATTACGCACTCAGTAGAAGACCGCGGGTATACACTGGAGAAAAGTATGGCTGAGTTTATACCTCTCCTGTTTCTATAATTGCAACCATTACCCAGTGTGCTGAGTAATTTAGTTTATATTGTTGAAAATGTAGAAGGAGTAGGGCAATGCAAATAGGAATGTTTCCCAAGCTGTGTGTGTATACATATTCCCTGAAGAGAACTAGGGAAGCAGCGTGCTTCCCCAAGCAGAAATTTGCACTATATACATGAGAGCTTTTGTTCTGAATTCTAAAAATTTTTTTTTTGGTTCTATACTGGGGTATATGGTAAAGTCAGTATCTCATACCTGGGATACAAAAGAAAACATGAACTGGGTGGCAAATCTGAGACTGCACATTTTAAAAGTTTTGTGCTGTTTCTAGACCTCTATTCTGCTTTAGCATAGAAAGGAAAGAGTTAGCAATATGGAGATTCGAATTAATCCCTGAAAAACTATAAAAACCCAAAGCATATCTAGTAGTTTCTCTAGCAGTTTCAAAGGTAGTTTATTTCCCAAGGCAGCTACCTTTTAATCTTTTTAGGTTAGTTTTGGCATTTCTTTATGGTGCCACCTTTTTGTTGAGTTTTATTCTTTCACCAATTCAGATAAGTGGTATGCTACAGGTCATTTTTGTGTAGCATATCCCACGGTTAGTTCTAGAGTAGCTTTGGTGTGTATCTTTTCCTTCTTGAAAATGTGTGTGGGTTTTTTCAAAACCTATCACCATTAGTACTAGTATTAAAAGTGGATAGCCATTTCCTTGAATTTGAACTTTTTCTTAAAAGTTAATAGCTTGGTGCTGGTTTGTATCTGAACAAATGAAAAATGGTTTCTAAGGTAAAGTTGTTTTCCTTAGACATACTCTGACAGTGCCCAAAATATATATTGATAAAATTTTGCACTTTATTACAGTCCTTGGGTATAGCTTACTGCCTGAAAGCGATGTGCTTGTGTCAAAGCACTCTAGTGAAATCTTAACCATTTGGCACTGTTTTAATTTATTTTTTATTTCATTGATACCAAATTTGATCTGATGAAACTTTGTTGCATGCTTGTTTTACATAATTGCAACCTTTGCACTGCTCTACTTGTATTCTACATGCAAGTCCTTGTGGGACCTTGTAATATGTGTATATATATATTTTTAATATAGTCAAAAACTGTTCCTTGCTTGTTTTGATACATGCTGGAAAGAACTGAGCCAGAGAACTGGGAAATAGATTGTAGCAGTGGAGATAATTGTCAAAGATTGTGATTTGCCATAGTAGGACTGTGTGAAGTAAGGCAGATAGAGAAGATTGAAATTCCATGTGAACTTAAGAAAAAAAGTTTACAGAAGAGGTTGTGGAATCTGGAGAACATCACTGGAGATACTCAAACTCCAACTGGACATGATCCTGAGCAACCTTGCCAGTTGACCCTGCTTTGAGTGGAGGGGCTGTACTAGATGATCCCCAGTCATCCCTTCCAATCTCAACTATTCTGTGATTCTGTGAAATCGCTGTGATCTGGGAATCTCTTTCGAGAAGGCTGTTGTCTGTTCCATATGAAAATATTGACCCTTTTTCTCTGAAGAATTTATTCTTAGTACTATTATTTAGTATTGTTGTCCAGCTGTAGGATTAAAACCCAGGCATTGTAAGTCTTTTTATTTCAGTCTTGCCTGACTATGTCTAGGATGTGAAGTCATTAAAAAGCAGTCTTTTGAGCTTTAGGAAAAGATGCAGGCATGGAGTTGAACACTCAATTTGCCAAAACAAATACCACGTTTCTCTGCAAGTACATAATTAACAAACTGCACATGCAGGCAACCTTTTTGGTAAAAAGGAAATACCTGGTTTGTGGATACACCTTGTTCACAGTGTTTAGAAAGTATGGATTTATTGCCCAAACATGAGGAAATCTCTTATGCAGTGTCACACTTTTTCTCATTCAAACTACTTGGTTTCACACAGCAAATCCTAAAGAACAGTCTGTTCCTTTCTTACAGTAATATATGCCTCATTAGTTAATAAGAAAGCTTTTTTCCATAATGTGACCTTGTTCTGTGGTAGATTGCTTATAGAAGTATTCCTACTTTAAATTCTGAAGAGATATTTTGTTTTAGTGTTCACAGTGTCTTTATGTTGTAACCTAAAATACTGTCATGCTGCAGGCATTTGAGTTGCTTATCTGCATTTATTGCAGATTTCCATTAATGAATACATTATACATCAGCAAACCCACATAATTATGGTGTCATTATTACTAGCAAGTAGAATGGCCTTTATCTTCAAAGATTTCTAGCAATTCTCCTTCCTTGATCCGGAATACTTACAGCAGGTTTCTCAGGCTTAGTCTTTCAAACTTAGGTTCTTCATTCTCAACTCATCCTTTTGTAGAAACATGCCTCCTGGCAAAAGTGGGGCTTTGTTCAAGCGTAATTTTCTTGTTCTTGGGACATGCAATCAAGGAGTTCCACCATTTCAACAGAGCATGTAATTAAGTCCTTTTCTTTTGTCACATCAGAGTGATTAACACCGGATCAGATAAAACATGTCTAGCCAAGTATCTGTCTCCAGCAGTGATTGAAAGCAAGTGCCTAAGACAATGAATAGCAAGACAGACATGTAGGAAACTTCTTCCTAGGTAGTAATCTGACCACCAACTCTGAGTCCAAGATGTATTTCTTTTTTCCCTAAATGTGCTGCCTGATATATTAAGTAAGTGTACTGTGCTCTTTTGAGGATGGTGAATGTAATTTGGCTAATACCATGTACCATTTTGTAGATCTCCATGTTACTGGCTCTTCAGTTCTCTTTATCCTCAGTTGAAGTATTAAACCTTTTGGTTTGCCTTTGGTTGGTAGCCATTTCATGCTTCCAGCTGCCGCTTTTGCTCTGCTCTGTTACCTTGGAATTACTTTACTCCTATGCCTGCATCTGTCAGGAGACACAGAAAATGTCTGAGTTCAGTTAACTAAATTGAGCTTTTTGCATACACAAGTCAAATTTCCCAGTAATTTCTGCATGAAGAGGATCTTCACATTTTGAGACAAACATAAACTCATTTACCAAAATATATTCAAACTTGTAGGAGAAAATAACGTTTGCTTTAATTTTGAGAAGTGACTTTATATTAGTTCTGTTTGGCGCAACTTCCCTTTTTTCTCTGAGAAAGTAATTTCTCCAGCAACTATTTCCAATTTTATTCTGCTTTCTGGGAATGATTGCCAGTCAGTCAGGTTAAATCTACTTCCAGCTTACTAAATTCTGCATTGAAGACTGGGTAGGTAAATGGGGAGCTCTCTGGTTCCTCTTCACTCCTCATTTCCAGTCCTGGGTGGTTCTTATTCTTGAATAACTGTGTTTTGAAATTTCTTTAAGTAAAAATAAACATGTCTTCTAAGATTCAGAATACTCTTTGAAGTCTTGTGAGCAACTTGCATTGATTAAAAAATAAAAATCCAACAATAAAACAACTGCCCTGGGGCCTTAGCTGTTATTACCACAGTACATTCACAATATTGCTTCAAACCTCCTGGAGTTCAGATGTGTTTTAGTTTCCATTAACTTTCAGGCATTTAATTACTGCTTAAATTTCTAGTGCATTTAAGAAAAAAAAAAAAAAAAAGATGTTTTAATCTCAGACAACTTTATTTTTCTGTCTGTAATTTATTGTAGTTTAAGCATCCTTGGGACTTATAGGAATTGCTTATTAACAACAAGAAATTATTTTCTACATTTAAACAGTTAATTTTGGAACTGTTGGTCTGAAAACAGGAAATAGTACTTGTGCTAATTCAGAAACAGTTTAGAGAAAGAAATCTGGAGAGTTAAAACACAGTCACTGAGAGAGAGAGAATTACTTCCTAGCAGTCATGTACCCAATGCAGATTACTGTGGTCTGTCTGCCAGCACAGAAAAGTAAAAGAAAGCATCCAGTGTTCAGAGAAAGCAGTAAAGTTTGCAAACTAGTCCTATGCAAACCTTCAGTATTAAGTCGTAAGGAAATGTACTTCAATAAAAACCTATATTTTAAGTGCTTTGAAGTAACAGTGGTTATGGAGATTGGCATGGCTCTATTTAAAAATATTCACAGCTATTGAATGCATCAGGAAAACAATTCTCAAGTATATCCGATGAAAGCCTAATAGAGGTATTTATCCACATATTGCCTAAAATACAAGTTATTTTGTTCTTGTGAGAGAGTTTGTTGTTGCTGACCTTTGAATCAGTGATATAGATTCAGCTCAAATAGATTAGGTGCCAGAGGCTAGTTAAACTATGGGTACAATTTTTACAGTTGTCTAATTATGTGCCATTTTGGGATATTTGATTGTGTTAAACTCTGACAGCTGTGGTCATTTTGTTCTCTTATTGTGTTTGGCCAACTTTTCTGAAATGCAAATTTGGAACACTGCAAAGAAATGCATTTTAACCAATCATTTTGTCTATGCAAGTTACTCTCTGTTCTCTTTTCTGGAAGATTTCCACTATAAAATTTACTATATTTGTGTAAGCTACTTCTAAAAGTAATGTCTGCTGCTTAAATAATTAAATTCTTATTTTGAACAGCATCTTTTGTCCTCAAGAAAATACAGAAGAAGCCTTACTGTTGCTGCTTATTAGTGAATCTATGGTAGGTAAAATAGAGTCAATGTGTGTGCTGAATGTTCATGTTTTCCTTGTTTTTTTTTAAATGAAAATGGAACTTTTTTTGTCATGCCTTACTTTATGACTTGTGTTTTATTCTCTGTTAGGAGAGCAGGCAGTTACTTCTGAAACCCAAGCTTCTGTTCCTCTGAGCCAGCAAGATGAATAGGATTTTTTTCTCCTTTAGAGTAGCTGAACCTAGCCTCCTTCTAACCATAGGCAGGTGAACCTAAAGCCGGGTCTTTCATTTGACATCTCTGATCTGTATGTACACCAGCTGGTTGCCATTCAGACAGACTCAAAATGTAAGTTATTTTTGTTGTAAAAAACAAATCAAAGATTAGTAGATGAGCATAATAAACATAGCCAAAAAGTATTTTCCATTGTGCGTTAAACCTCATGTGTCACTCAAATTTGTAAATGATTTTTAATGATACTGGCATTCAGCCTTTGCTACTGGCTTTTTTTTTAATGCCCTCATTTCCTCAGTAGGTGATTCCTTTCAATGGCCTACTTTGTGCCTCTTACCAGCCTTTCGTATTTTCCTCTAGCATGATTTAACCAGTCATCTGTCAGCTGCCACTCACTGACATTCTCATACCGGGTCAGTTATATGTCCTCAAATGGCAGAAATAAAAAGCTGAAACTGGAATTTTGCTGGTTTTCTAATTGGAGGGGTGGAACCTCTAGAATCTCAGGCATCATATAGTAGCCTGGCTCGCTGCATAGCAATGAGACATAGTCTTTTAAGTTCTATAGGTGATTCAAATGCTTTCATACTCTGACACAATTTCTGGTTTGATACAGTTAAATAGGATCAGAACATTTTAGTGAACATTATCCTATTTGAAATATTTTAAAGTAGCAAACATGTACATTGCAGTGCAAATTACTTACTTGTTCCTAGTGATCTGCCTTGCAATGTTCATGACAGAATCTGTCACCAGAAAACCAGACTGAGCAAACATTTCCATATATCATGTGTTGGTTTCACTGCAGTATGTACTTACCACTGAAAGGGGCTGTCTGTGCCTCTGTAAGATGCCAGAGCAGCTCATGGCGATACACAGAATTCTGATGTGAACTGTGGTCACAGTGTGAAGTGGAAGCGGTCCCAGTTCTGCAGGATCTGCCTCCTGATTACTGTATTTGCATGTGGACTTCCTTGCATATCAGCAGTAAGAAGCCAAAAACCAAATTAAAGTACTGCCCTACTAAGTCTCTTTTCAGGTTACTTACAGCTTTTCCTTTGTGAATTAGATCTGCCTAATTATATCAAGTCCTTGTCACTGTAGAGCATATACCCTTAGCAAGCTTTCAATATTTTTTTTTCCTTACAAGTAATTATTGCAGGTTAGCTGAAGCAGAAGGGTTTGTTTCAGGGGAGTATAAAATCTTTTACATGATTGATTTGCTTTGGCTAAGCCATTTGTTCAAATTAGTTTTGGAGGGGGGAAAGGGGAAGATTGAGCATAAAAATATTCATCGCTGCAAGCTTATCTTTCTGAGAGTTGAGAGCTCTTACTTCATCATGCTAACTTTCTAGCTGAGTAGTTATGTAGTATGTGATTTACAATTTTGAAACCAGTGTTTGGGAAAGAAATAAGAACAGTTACAGAAGATTGAGCAATCATTGGTGTTTTGAGATAGTACTGTGTTATTAAAGTAGTGTGATCCCTTCCTTGCATTGTCTGTGAATTAGTAAAAACACAGATAAGGTGTCAAGACCTGTCCTTCAGACATTTATTCAAGTAAATATTGGAAAACAGAATGAGGATCTGACATATAAGTAGCATTTTGTGTAAGTAAAAGTAATCAAATTAATATACAAGCCCTGAATCATACTGCTAGTTTCAGGGAAGTGGTGCAGATGTTAGACATCATAACTTCTTATTTGGATTAGATCTAGTGCAACATATATCCAGAAAAGATACAAATGCTACTTTTGAGTCACCTTGAGTTCCCTTAGTTTCTGAATTCAGAAAAGGTGCTTTGAGTAAGATGTAAACTGTAATATTTATGAAAGAACTGCTCTGAGATAGTTCTGTGCTTTTCAAGTGTTCTAATTCTCTTATAGGTACATTTCAGAGTACAGAATGTCTCTTAGCCACATGACTGCTGCTACAGTGTATTGTCATGCATAGTGAGGGAAGTCAGCAGCAACTCTGCCATCACTCGTGCTGTAAGATGTCCTTGTATTCTAGCTGTTACACTTGTGAAGTATAGACCAGGCTTTCCTTAGCTAGACAGGAATTAGTAGAAAGGTGGGATCTGAAGGACTGAATTCTTCACATTACAGTGCATGTACATGTTGCTGCATGTCAGCTGAGTTGTAGTAACAGAATCACAGAATGATTGAAGTTGGAAGGGACCTCTGGAGGTCACTTTGCAACCCCCCCCCGCTCAAGCAGGGCCACCTGGAGCAGGCTGTGTCTGTGGCCAGATGCCTTTTGAATATCTCCAATGAGGGAGACTCCACAACCTCCCTGGGCAGCCTGTGCCAGTGCTCAGTCACCCTCATGGTAAAAAAAGTGTTTTCTGGTGTTCAGAAGGAACCTCCTGTGTTTCAGTTTGTGCCTATTGCCTCTGGGCCTGTCACTGGGCACCACTGAAAAGAGCCTGGCTCCCCCTTCTTTGTACGTTCCCTTCAGGTACGTGTACACATTGATAAGGTTCCCCCACTGAGCGTTCTCTTCTCCAGGCTCTCTCAACCTTTCCTCATAGGAGAGGTACTCCAGTCCCTTATTCATCCTAGTGGTCATTTGTTGGACTGTCTCCAGTAGCTCTGTATCTCTCTTGTACTGGGGAGCCCAGAATTGGACCTGGTACTCCAGGTGTGGCCTCACCAGTGCTGAGTAGAGGGGAAGGACTGCCTCCCTTGACCTGCTGGCAATCATGCAGCCCAGGATACCACTTGCCTTCTTTGCAGCAAGGGCACATTGCTGGCTCCTGTTCAATTTGGTGTCCACTTGGACCCCCAGGTCCTATTCTGCCAAACTGCTTTCCAGTGGGGTGAGCCCCAGCATATACTGGTGCCTGGGGTTGTGCAAGACTTTGCACTTCCAAGTCTTTGAAGCCTTTGATGAGGTTCCTATCAGCTCATTCCTCCAGCCTGTTGAGGTCCTTCTGGATGGCAGCACAGCCCTTTGGCATATCAGTTTCCCCTCCTAGTTCCGTATCATCAGCAAACTTGCTGAGGGTACACTCTGCCCCATCGTCCAGATCATTAATGAAGTTTTTGAACAGGATCAGGCCCAGTATTAGTCTCTGGGGTACGCTGCTAGTTACTCGCCTCCAACTAGACTTCATTCCACTGATCACCACCTCCTGGGCTCAGCCTTGTGTCTTATTCTTAGCTGATGGTAAAATGTCTGACTGTATCCTTTCTTCCACTGGGGGTGAGCTAAGTTACACTGCTCGGATTTACCTCAGGCTTAAACTGTGTATAGGGTAAGCATGACCAGCTGACACATTGCAGCTTGCCTAATTGGCACTTTATTGTGTCTGAGACCATGGCAGTTCTGAAACACTGAGCAGTTTGAAACACAAAACTAAAGTTTGTACATACATTCTGTTTTATAATTATGCAGAAAATGATTGTTGAAATCTATAAGATATCTTTAATACTTACAAGGCATCCTCTCCTGTAATACTGCTTTGGCATTGTCAGCCATTTTTTCACAAGAAGTGCTTGTTCATAGCTTGTTCTGTACTTGCAAGGAATCGAGTCAAACAATGATTAAATGTGGAGTTAAAAAGGAAGAAGTTCTTGAAGCTGACTAAATATTTATTCAGTGTAGAAAGGAAAAGCCAAAGACTTCTTGATCAAAAGAAAGCAAAATGTCTGTTTTGGGGTGCGTGTGCGGGGGTGTGTGTTTTCAAACCAAGCTGTGGATTATTCAGTTGATAAATCCTGAAATGTCTGTGCATTTTATGCTCCATGTATCTCTTTGAAAATTTATTTCAGTATTTAATTATTCTGATTTTAAAGATGTATTGAGTATGTTCAGAGCTTAAAACGTTAAAGCAGAGAAACAATTTATTAGCTCTTAATGTGTGTCATTCCTCCCCTCTGAAAAAGGGGGAAGCAAGCTGCCTATTAAAATTGATTATATTTAAGTAAATTTATTAAGGGGGCTATGCCCTGTGTAATTAAAATAAGAAGAAAAGAAGGGAGAGGAAGAGAGAGAGGGATCTTTAACTTCTGGCTTCAAACTACCATATGTACTAGTATTTGTACTAACGGGAATATTAAACATCAAGTATCTAGAAATAGATATCAATATAAGCTATTTTCAGAGGCTTGATGGTATAGCAGAAGTACTGGGTAGTTGAATATTGGTAGTCTTAGCTACTGGGAGATCTGAATTTTATCCTTGGCTTTTTAACAGGATTTCTTTGTGAACACGGTCAATTAATTTAATGCAGTTCTAGCTCAGCTTTCTGTCTTCTTGAAAAGAAACGTTTAATTAAGGAATTAGGTTTGCAATGTGCCTTTCACAAAACAGGACTGAAAGAACAAAGCCTTACTGCAAACATGGCCTGATTCCAAACCAGAAACAGGGACAGTTTTCGCTTCTCACTGGTAACTCCTGAAGGTGGCTGTGTGGTTATCCTGGGCAGGTTACCACTCACAAGTGAGAGGATGGTGTCACAATGTTATGAAGAGAAAAGAAATAGGTTGCCTAATTTTACAAAGGATGGAATAGAAGATTTGAAGATCCTTCTTAATATTTTTACTTGCATACAGAAAATAAAATTAATTTTTAAAAGATAAATATACATTATATTAAAAAAAAACTTACTTGGTTTCTGAGAACTCTTCAATGTTTCTAAATACATTAACTAATCTATGCAATTAGAATCAAGTACTTAAAAATAGATCAATGTAGAAACATAAATATTTCTTGCTATCTATAAATTAATAGCAGATACTATCTCTCTGTATCACCTATATCAACTGCTGACTGTCAGTCTGAATAGATTGGTAGTTACTTGAGCAAAAGTATAGGTTGGATTACAATGCATGACTTTGTTTCTTTTTTCGTGGTGTGTTTCAGGCTAACCGTGATGCTGTGCTGAGCAGAATACCAGAACACAAAAATGATCGTATCATCAGTTTGCAAAGTGCATCTGTAGTCTACGATTTGCTTACTATAGCCTTGGGAAGAAGAGGCCAATATGAAATGCTCTCAGAGGTTTGTTGATAATAGTGAATATTCAACTGTGTCTTTGTTGCTTTTTTTCTGTTAATCATGTTAATAGTGGTACTACTTAAGGGCTAAACAAATACAGGACACTGTCATTCTGACTACCACAGTAGGTGGTGGTTTCCACCCCAAAAAGTTTACTGTCTAAATTTATACAAGTGACTTGAGGTGGCCAAGCACAGAAATTGTGTGAAAGGTATGACAAATGTTGTGTGGCACAGCAATTCACGTGGTTTTTAGGCAGGGAGGCATGGATCTGCTTAAAAGGATACACATTAAATGGAGACAGCAGGAAGGAACGGCAAAAGATAAAAGCTGTTGTGGATATAAGTGATAGATATAAATACATAGAAAAAGGATTTGTGATGTTTTATTTCAAAAGAAAACTTCCTTTTACACCTCATAATATTTGGAGTGCTCCAAAGTCCTTGTAGTTTGTAAAATGGCTTTGAAGTTAATAAAATGGAAATGTATTACTTTCTGAGGTCTAGAGGAAGGTGCATTCTCTGTCTCAAATATTTTGTATTTGATTATGCAATTTGCATGTGTTTATTTACATTGTGGCAACTCACTTCTTCAGGAAATTTTCATGTATCGTTAACAGCTTTGTACCTGAGAAACAACTACAGCTCTTTGGGCAGAGCAGATCTTTCTCCTGCTCAAAAGAGTGCTCACCCAGCAGCAGGACACTGTTGCAGACCACAATTAATTATTGGTACCCAGAAGAAATACTTCAGCATGTGCAGTAGGAAGGGATTTGCTGAGAAATGGTTTCTCTCTACCATAATAGATGACTTCTATTAAGATAAATATGAAAAAAACCAAAACAAAAAAAAAAAAACAAACCGAAAAAAAGCCAGTTCCTCTCTGGTATATGTCTGCATCTCCTGTGATGTTAAGCTCTGAATTTGGCTATTCTTCTTGAAGGTATTTAATAGCTGCAAGTTGGACATACAAGTGAGTTTTAATCAGTACAATAGAAAGTCTTTCACAAAGCTAAGGAGTATGAAAGCTCATACAGGACTGTCATCCTACAACATAATCTAATCAGGAATATTTCCATTTACTTGCCACTACAGACACTATCACCATCATGGAGTTTTACGCAGTTGCACTGAAGCTGCAGGAGATGAATCTCCATATATTTTAGACTAGAACTTTTTAAAGGATAGACATTGACAAGAACTTTAAAAAAAAAAAAAAAAAGGTAACTCTCATTTCTTTTTTTTTTTAAGCAGATGGCAACCTTTCCTTTTTATATACTAGCCTAGCACCTAGGCAGGGGTAGTGTAGCCCTGGATTCCAATTCTGATTCTTTTATTTTGTCTGTGGTATCATGGTGGTTTCTTTTTGTTGTGTTTTTTTTTGTCTTTTTTTAAATGTTAAACAACCGTTCTATTAATGGGAACATCACATGTTCCTGGGATTCCTCCACTGTTTCCTTTGGGAGACTTTAGATAGTATTTATGTCACAATAGACACAGCTGCTTGTTTGCAGTTCTTGCCTGTCTTAACAGAGAAATTTTTTGGCTTCACCAAAAAAGGTAGCGGTATCTGTGTTCTTAGCCATGTATCTTGAAGTCTAGGACATTACCTTGAAGGCAGGAGGAAAGTCTTACAGTCCCTTCACATGGAGAAGAGCATAGCGCTTGCTTCCCTCGCTGCATGTGTGATTGGTTTAGCCCATGCATCTGACAGACAAGTACCACTAACCTGCTGTGTTTTGAACACAGTTGAATGTTCCAACTAATGGAAGATGTTTTAACTCAATGTAGATCTTGGATATCGGTGCCTTTTAGAAGTTGCTTGTGCTGGTGATGTTCATTGTTGCAGACAAAAGCAGAACCATGAGTAGCTGCAAAGTTAAAGAGCCTCCATGTTTGACCAGCTTCTTAGTTGAAGGTTTTTAGCCCCTGTCTTGGGCTTTGACACCTGAAGTCTACCTAAGGCTTGTTTTAAGGTCTTTTTTTGTTCTTTTTTAATCTGTGTCTAGCGTATTTGTAATTAGATTCCACCAAAATTGTATAAATATTCTTTTGAAATGTTATCTTTGAAAAATAGAAAATTATTCTCACATGTTTGAAACATACTTTCCAATACAGAATAATTAAAATGTGTTTATTATATGTCCAAGAAGTAACTATACTGAACATTAAAAAAAATCATCTTATGAAGAGGTGATGTAATAGACAATACTTATTTTAGCATACAGACACTGCAGATATACAGCTGCAGCAGGAGCTTATCAGGCAATGGTTAGAACATCTCATTTGTTCCAATTCTTGTCATCCAAAGCACAGCAGAAAATACAGATCTTAAGAAGCTATTACACTTTAGTGTGTAGTTAGAGGATGTCTGCCCTCAAATTCTGTAGCCCATAGTCTGAAACTTTTATAATTTATTATACTTATATATATATAGTGTATATATATTATCTTTATATATATAAAATATTTATATATTGTAATATTTAGTATACTAATTATTACAATAAGCACAAATTCAGAAATGTAAAAACATTCTGTTCAGTTATATAATAGGCATGTAATTTTTCTTTGTCAGCTTCATTCTCTGTGAGCTAATTATGATTGCTCTAGTCGAGCTCTTGTCAAGTCAGAAAGCACCATTATTCTAACTGCGGAAATGGTATTCCCCCACCAATTCCGGTATCTTGTTATCATCTTCTGGTTTAGCTATAGCTGATTACTTACAGAAGTAGTTAGCTGTGATTTAAGAACATTAAATGACCAAAAATCTGCCTCATCCTTGTTAAACTGTTCTAATGCTGAGTCATGTTCTTTATTGAAAAGGTCTCATTTCTTTATGGAGTTTGAATACCACGGGCTTTCAATTTCTTATGGCTTTTTCAGCTAGATCAAAGAACTTTCTACTGTCATGATTTTCTCCTGCACAAAAGTACTCTGACTGTCATCAAGTTGGTTTTTAAGCTTCATGACACAGTGAGCTTATCAATGTCCTACTAGGAGAGATGTTTTCCAGACCAGAAATTTTCCTAGATACTCATCTTTCAGCTCTCTAACTTCAAGCGTATTCTTTTCAGGAGGAGACCATAGTGCTAAGCAACAAAATTCAGTAATGCATTCAGCATTACCTGCCCATATAGCGATTTGTGATTATTTACAAGGCAATATCAGCAGCTGCATTTCTGCCTTTCAGGAGAGCGATTGTGCTGAATGTTTTCAATTAGTTAAGTCAGTTGCCATTATCCTGAACATTATCTTAATTTGCAGTTTTACAGGGTACCATTGCTTGTTATGTATTTCGCAGTGATTTCTTGTTCATGCCTGTTGCTCTTTGAAATTACTTGTTGTTACTTGGTTCAGAAGAACCCAGTTTGAGGGGTTCGTGTTATTGTGTAGGTCACATACGCATATGTGTACATATACACCTTATCCCCACACATGTCAACCACCAATTTCATGACCTTATGAAGAAAAAAAAATCATGTAACTCGTCACGTTTCATACGGAATGAATAGAACTTGAAGTCAATGAAAAAAACCAGTAAAGAGATCATTAGTACACTGAAACTCAAGGCTTTTAGAATAATCTACAGTTGTGTCCTGTGTTCCTATAAATACAAAATTATAAAAGCCTGAAGTATCAACTTCTTCAACTTCTTTATTTTCTGCCAGTTAGGATTGGCAATTATTTTTAATGAAGCAAAGCCTAGAAAATAAGCATTTTATTTTTTCAAATTGTGAATGAGTACCTCTATGTAATTAATGCACGTGCATACCTATGTGAATATGTAAAAATGGAAGAAAAAAGTATTGATTAGGCAGCCTAAAAAGTTATAAACTTATTTTGACTTTAACTATTATGCTTCCATGCACCGCATGTTTGTGTGAATATCTGGGATTATACAGCTGCTGTAGGTCAGAGTTCTGGAAGGAGTACTGAAATCTCTTAAATCCTATGTAAAACGCTAGTATCAAACCGGGTAGAGTGAGCTGTATTTGAAAGTGTATTTGAGAAGATACATTCTCCTTCATTTAGAGGCATTTAGGTTAGCACCATAGTTGTACTAATCAGTGGAGAGAGAGAGGGAGGGATTTAGGAACTTTTGTTTTCTGCCAAGTTCATGGAGGGAGGTGGAGGAGTGTGCCTTACCCAGGCATTTCTGCAAAGTATCCAAAGTAATAGGAGAAGATATTGCACATAACTTATTTGTTTGTTTCTTGCTGTGATCTTTGTGCTTCCACTGGTCAAAAGAAAGTCCAATGGGAAAATAAATCCTGTGTTGGTTTTCTTAATAGACATTTAATTAACTTACTACACATGCAATCTGATGACAAACTTTTAACAACACTATCAGAAAGAATTTGTTTTTAAAAACTTCATTCCTCTGTAATAATTCAATAAAAATTCTATTTAATAATAGTCTTGATACTGGACATTTTGTAGTAGGAAAAGTTCTAGCATACATTACTTATATATAGCAAATCATGCAATTCTCTTATTTGTTTTGTTTCATCCTCAGTGCTGTTCTTTGCTTCAGGATCTGTTAAAGTGTGGGAGCACGCTACACTCTTGGCTCTGCTTTCTGTAACGTTAAAGCTGAGTTTGAATGTGAAAAATAATTCATGGTGCTACAGTTTAGCATATCCATTATAGCTATCAGAGCAGAAAAGCTGTTTCATGTAATTGCACTCTGCAGACTAGAAAGTTAATTGCTAAATCAGTTTAATCCAGAAAAGTATTGTACCTTTCAACTCTTTGGAGCTGGCCTGATTAGTAAAAATGAGCATAGCAAAACGAAATCATTCTTATTGACAATAGCAGACATGAAACCTTCAAAATTAGTACGTAATGCTGATTTAATATATTTAATCTCAGGATAGTAAATAATTAATTTCCTTTTGGCATTCAGTTATTAAGTTGAAAATCTCAGCAGAATATTGAGTGTAAAGTTAAAATTCTTAAAAATAGAAATAATACTGTCAGGTGAACCTTCCCCACTGCCTTTTAAGTGGTAGTGATAAGTACTTGTGGTGCTATTGCATGTTAAGTGTTCACAATTTAGGAAGAGTGTTTATACAATTTTCATTTTCACTTAAGACTTATCTCCTGCCTTTTGCAGCTGATACCTTCAATAAGCTGATATTTATCATTCCTTCTTTCAGACTAAATAGGACAGTACCAGCAGAATTATTTAAAAAAGCATAAATGGGAAATCAATTTTCTGTACAATTCTTTTTTTCCATATAGAATCTGAGAGCTGTTTTCACTTAACTTATTTGAATGATTTAAATATTTAACTCCATATATTTTAGGTATGAGTCTATAAGAAAACTTTTATACTAGTATATCTTCTTAATAATGGAAGACTGTGCCCTTAAATAACAATTTTCCCCCCAAAATTAGTGTTTAGAAAGAGCCATGAAGTTTGCGTTTGAAGAGTTCCATCTCTGGTATCAATTTGCATTGTCCTTGATGGCAGCAGGAAAAGTAAGTCTTAATTTTTGGATGTAATTCTTGTATTGATGGGGTTTGATAACAACTTTTGGCACTTCCATAATTTTAATCTGTGGTGGTTTTGAAAATAATTCTAATCCTTAAATCAGCTGAGTACACTGTACTCCTGAATTCATGCCTAGTGCTGTACAAAGAATGTTATTTCAATCGTTTCTAACTTAGGAAGACTGAAAGGTTGTGATAAGAACTGTCTTGTCAACAAGCTTAAGCTAAGCTAATTGAATATAAATAGTGAATTATACCAGATGATACTGGCCACTAACAACCTCGTTTAAGTGCTATTTTGATGAGTGAATTTTATGCTTAGGCGCAAATTTAATGCTGATTCATGATGCTCTTGCTTTTTCTTTCTTTGGGAATCTCTGATTGTGTCTTTTTTAATATTACTGTCTTTGAGGCTGTATTCTGTGCAATTATAGTGAGTTGGATTTTTTTTTAATTTTATATAACCTAGGAACTTATGTTATCAGATGCAATATTCTATTTTTGGTTCCTTTTGCTTTTCCCTGTCATGTTATGGAAAATAAATTGCATTCATTATGTAATGTAAATAATACTAATTTTCTAAAAGATCATTCTCAATGGGGGTAATTTGCTTATCTTCAGTATGGGGGAAAGGAATGATTTGTATTTTCTTTAGAAAATATTTTTAGAAGCTCATTGGTTCTGAGGGGGCTTCGTTCTTCCCATTCTCTGTTTACTTAGAGTTATCTTCTAAACTGTGATTAGATGGAGGCAAATGCGGAGCAGTAGCACTCTGTTATACAGTCTTCTATCAGAGCTATTCCTAAGTGCTGTTGTAACTCCCAAAGAGCACTAGAACACTGCTTGTTCTGAAGACTCTGTCCTGTTCCTGCTCTTCCATTTGCCTGGCTCAAATGTTGTGAACTTACAGGCCTAGCAAAGTTTTCTCAAAACAGTTTTCTGAATCATTGGAATTACGTTCTGGGCAAATGTTTCACTAGGGATACTTAATGATAGTTCATAGTGGCTAAATAGTGACAGCAGTGCCTAAAGTCTTATGTTTCACTTGCATGAGGAGTTGTGACAAATTGTTGAGAAAATGTGTAGTAATGTCTTCTTCACATGGGAAAAATAAAGTAAACGATGGAAATAGGAATCTTCTGTTTGTGAAACATATTTCTACTTTTAGTAATTTCAATGGAAAATGTTTTTAACAGTCTGCTCGAGCTGTTAAAGTCTTGAAGGAATGTATACGTTTGAAACCAGATGATGCAACTATTCCACTCCTTGCTGCAAAGCTCTGTATGGGATCTCTCCACTGGGTAAGCTTTGCCACTCTGTCTTTTCAGCAAGAGCTGCGCTAAAACGCAACAAAATCTTGGTTTAGGGATGTAGCAAATACTTTTGCACGGTGACAACATGCATTTGGTCATTTCTGAAAATACAGCACAGATACATATATGCATATGTGCCTCCCTGTTTGCATGGCTAATTTAAAATATTTGACAGCAATAGTTATGTTTATCAGGGTAGCATATCTTGATACTGACCTAAGACACAGCTAAAAATGTATTAGAAATTGAAACGTTGGCATACAGAGATTAAAAATGCAACTTAGACTTCTGTTTCCTCTGTGCAAGAGGAAAATAACTTTTTGGGGAAGTTAACGAGACAAATCTCTTATATTCAAGAGACTCTTCTGGTTTGCAGACAGTTGGGGTTTATGAATTCCTAGCAGGGACAGTGTCTTTTTAAAAAATGTTACTGGAATTGTGTTTTACATAACCTTGAAATTGGTGTATCTTTAAAAAAACATTAAGGTGATCAAAGAACATTGTGTGGTTTTCAAGATACATGTGTAAGTTTTAGAAGAATGAGTGTGTTTAAAAAAGGAGGAAAAGAGGAGGAAGAGGTCACAATCAGAAATGGAGAAAATAGTGCTGTAGCAGAAACATAACTTGCTGAGTCTGACAAAAATAAGTCTTAATAATTAACATGGATTCTGTGAATTGTTCCCTATGGATTGACTCCATATGGAGTAGCTTACTGTACTTAGCATTTACATTTACTGGAATGGATTCAAATGTTTTTATTTTTTCTTTCTAGATAGTCAAATAGTGTGCTAGTATGGGTATGCAGTTAAGCCCTAATCTTCTACATGTTTCTCTATTTATGAGTTCACATACATCCAGCAATACTATATGTCAATACTGAGTTCTGCATGGCTATGCTTTTTTTCTTTTTTTTTCCAGGGTTGGAGCCATAGTTCTTGTAATTGATTTTCCTAAAGAAATAGCTCATGGGGCAAGAACTCTATTTATGAAATGCAAAAATGGTAGATGGCATATATGGACCAGAAATGCCTTTTTTAATTAAAAAAATAAATAAATAATTAGGCAAACCCACACTAAGTTTAGGATGATCTGTGTGTTATGTGCCAGTTTCTCTCAACCATAGGAATGAGTGCCTCAGCTTAAATCTGTGTTCTTTACTCAGTATTTAGCAGGGAAACTAAGTCTAATGACAAACTAAATACTCCTTAAAAGCAATTATGGGTGAGATTTCAACAGACTCAGTGTGCATAATACACATGCTGTGCATTCTTCTAATTATAATGTAAGCTTTAGCTAGCGTTTTAGACTTACATGGACGTTTTATAATATTTTCAGTTGGAAGAAGCTGAAAGATTTGCCAAAACAGTAGTTGATCTTGGGGACAAAACATCAGAGTTCAAAGCAAAAGGCTACTTGGCACTGGGATTGACTTACAGTCTGCAGGCTACTGATGGTAAGATAAGAATAAACATTCACATTTGGAAATTCCCATGTTGACTAAAAAAGGATACCTAGCAGAATGCTAGACTTAAAAGTTTCTGTGTGCAATCTTTTTTTTTCAGTCAATGTATTAAAACTTCTTCAATGAGCATGTGGAATGAAATGTCTTAATCTTGCATATCACTGATTAAATATATCCTTTTCAGCATCTTTGCGAGGGATGCAAGAGGTCTTGCAGAGAAAGGCTCTTCTTGCATTTCAAAGGTGAGTGGGTGTTAATAATTTCATTCTGCTGTATATAATGAAAAGCTTTATTATGTGCTAAAAAGAGGGACTTGTAAAAGATTGTATAATGAGGATTTCACCTCTGGGACTCTCCCTTCATAAGCACGGAATGTATTTCTTTGGCATTTACTTCGTCATTTTTTGTCAGAAATATCTAAATTGATTTCGAAGGATTTCCTTTTATTTAATTTTAAAGACATTTGTGTGGCTCTCTAGTATAAAGTATTTGCTCAAAGGAATATTCTCATCTGATGTAGAAGCGAAAATGGTGTGATGCAAGGTTTCAAGTCATGGTGATAGTGTTTCTAGAAGAGTTGGTCGCTGATCAGATTATATAGCAGGCTTTTGCAATTCCCTCTGTAGAGGCAGAGAGATAATTGAGGCCCTGCTGCTGTGGGTAAGGGGTGAAATACAGGTAGTAAGGTAGTAAGCTAGGGGAAAAAGAAAATTCTATCTGCAGATTTAACAGCGTAGGCAGTGACAACGCAAATGCCCCATCTTCCAAGTGCCTTGCATGGAAGTAGTGCTGTTGGGGATGACAGTAGTTCACTCTCAAGGGTTTGACTCTGCAAATAAAATTACAATAAACAGGTAAATGAGAACACCTCTATCCTAATTACAGAAGAAACAAATCTTGATGGCAAAGCTGGCAGAAGTGCTGCAACATCTAAACGTGTCTCTCTCTATGTTTATATACCTTTGAAAACCCTACTTCAGTGAGACAGGCCTAAATGCTTCAGGGAAGCAGATTTGTGCATTAAGGTGAATACAAAGTCTGGGATTTTTGGTGGTGATTTTGTATCTGAGGGGGTAAGGTTGAAAAAGTGCTTTGCAGGTAACTTTAGAGTGAGGGTGGTATGTATTAGTCCTTCCTTTTTCTGTCTTAACTGTTCCTCTATATGTAAATATCTTTTAACATATCTTTGCTCTTCCTGTTCCTTAAGGGCTTTTAATAGTTTTAATTACTTCAGCATTCTCCATGTTGAAACTGAACTTTCTACCTTCTGATTTATACCTCTGTTCCTCACCCATCCCTCTTACCAGTGACTTAATCATCACTGTTTCAAAAATACTGTGCTAACCATTTCTCACCATTCCTACCCATTCACTACTTTTGAGGTTCTCATAGTGATTTGCTTTCTTTTGCTGATTCTTTTAAACAGCAAGGGATTAAATGAACCATAGCCTGAAGCTAGTCCATTCCAGTTCAGTGCCTGCTGACTATACCCTCTAGTTTAGTATAGCGATTTCCAAAATTCTGAGAGTTGTTCCCTGCTGTCAGTCTGTCTGGAAAATTTCCATTTTCTGAGGTTTGAGGTTGTGCAGCATTTTGACCACCTGTAAATATAAGGATGCTTTTATAGGTAGCATACTGCTTGTTGTGGTAATATTTATTAGGTTGCTCTAGAAAAAGAATAAGTAGTTTGAGAATAAGCAATGCACAGTAAGTTAGGAGAACCACTTTTCAAACATTGTTCAGCTGCTTATCACTGAAAAATTACTCTTTCACACTTCCTATTCAAATATTGTTGCTTCGTTGTGTTATGTCGTCTTTTACCCAGGAACTTTTCTGTTTCATTCTCTACAGCTGAACAATAAGTCTCTTGATACCTTCTTAACTGTTCAGTTCTGAAGATTTCCTAGCAGGGACTTGTGCTAGCTGAAATCTGAAAACATATCTAGCATCTCTTCAGTGAACCGTTACAGGTGTCCTTTAGGTTGAGTGGAACTTCAAAGCTCCATATCACTACAAAAGTGAAATATTTGTGCTAACTAGCAGAATACAAATTTAGACACAGGAAGTCTTGGGAACATGAGGATTAATTGCATAGGATTTCTACGCATCTTTCTGATGCTTTAGGTTTCTTTGTTCTTTTTCCAGTTGATACAACCTCCTAGAAACAATATTCTGTATTTTTGAGTGCAGTTTCCAGGGTATTGATGTTAAGTTATATGTTCACCTTTTCTGCTAGCCTTTCTCAGAATGAACTTGTATGTAGGCTTTTAATTCAACTGTCTTTCGGAGGTGTTGGTAATATACGTGGTATATGTTTTGAAAACTTTGGTGAATTGCTGATGTTGCTGGTTTTTTTGATTTGTGATTGCATCTGTGATATTGCTGATATGAGTAGCTTGGACTCCACACAGAATCTTGACTAGAATCGTTTGGCCCTTGAAAAGAGCAGAGTTTCTGCATATCAGAAAGCCCTTAGCTACCTTCTAAGATAAGGGGAAAAGTATGTTTTGCAAGGTGATTGTTCTGCATATTATCATGCTTCCTCACTTGTATTCATAGAGACACTCTCACCTGATAGATCAGCTGTACTGGAAATCCACTTCAATGTAGTTGATAATGTTGCTGGTTCCTTGTGTTGATAACATAGGTGTACGATGTTACTGAAACTTTGTTACCACAGAGTGTATGTTATGCTTAGCATACCAGAGTCATGCCTGCTTTCTCTTCCCACATCTTAAAAATAAATGTTTTCCAGGAGGTGGAAGTTGAAATTCTCCATCTCCTACACAGTTTATAAAAGAAACAGCTGTACTGGGCTCAGTATTTTGATCTGCCAAGTTTTTTTGTTTGGGGTTTTTTAATCACTTACCTAGAGAACCAGTTCCTGAAGAAATACAGTTATGTTTTGGACCCTTGCCTATGCCAGATTTCAAGGCTACCAGTTTGTGATGGTGGCCATTTGAGAAGGTGCTTGTTGCTGTCTTTGCACAGTGCTGAGGGGGTGTTTGTTTCACTAACTTTTTTTTTTTTATTATTTTGGAAGGCTTTCAAGTGCTCTTCCTGTGGTTGGTGCGAATTGGAGTTTCACAGAACTCACCAAATGTTTGATAGATAGTAACAGCTTTATTCTTTCACTAGCTAAAGCTTGGGTGACTGAACAAGTACTCTCTAAGTTAAATTCCCTTGTTCTCACTTTAGCCTTGCTTGATTTGTGAACTAAAATTTAAAAAAGGACTGGTCGTGGACCCTGTTAGGGTAATATTTGACTGCAATCTCCAACTGAGAGATAAATTTAACAAAGTATGAAACTGTTTCCTAATAACTTAAACTACTTTGATATGTGTTGGGTGTAGTTGCTAAACTAATGGAGCTGTCTCTTTGGACTTGAGAAGAAAGAGGTTCATGATGAGTCAGATCTTATGCTGCCTTTTACTATAAAGCTATGATAAAGAAGCTGTCCAGCCTAGATTTCTTTTACATTGCTACATAGCAAGGTGCTCTGCTAACTTAATCTCTAAGCAACTCAAAGCTAAAAAGTAACTGGCTTCCTAGGAGGCTTAGTAAAAAAGCACGTAAACTTTGAGAGTCTGGAGAATGAACAAAACTGATCTACTTTGCTGCTACTCTTCCTCTTTGAGTTCTGTATTTCAGAACCGTCCTGGTGAGGGTCAGTGTGATTGCTTGGGTGCTTCTCGTGCAGATGACATAATTCTTGTCTTTAGAGGCATGTTGTTTGGGGGGATTTTTTTTTTCCTTTTCTTAGATAATTACATACAGTGTTTGTTTAGGAGTGTATTTTAACTGAAGAATAATTTTGTATTGCTCATTTTTGAGATTTACACTGAATTGACATAATTTCTATTAAAAACGACAATTGTTTTCTATTAAAAGTGCCAGAAAAGTCACTGGATTGAACACCACATACCAAAATACAGCATACATGTAGTGAAGAGATCCGAATACAAATACATTAATATGTATATATGTGTATGTCTAACTTGTATTAACAGGGGAAAAACTTACTGTTTTTTTCTTTTGTTTCTTTGTTTTTAAGGGCTCACAGTTTGTCTCCAACAGATCATCTGGCAGCATTTTACTTGGCACTGCAGCTTGCCATATCCAGACAGGTTAGTTGTGTTTTAAAAGTGCAGCCTCACACTGTTATATGAAGATTAGAATTTGTATGTGTTGATGGATACAGATGAAGATTTCTTCAATAAAAACCTGGGTTTCCTTGTGTGTATATGCATATCTATGGAAGAAAAAACCCTGAAATACTCTCTCTGAACACCTTCAGTCTTGTATGCTTCTCCCATTACATGTAATCTCTGCTTAGACTGGTTATCCGGAGCGTGGGACTCTTGAATAGCCTTTAATGATCTTACAGTGTTTAAATCTTGAGTATCTACTAAGATCTGTGCCTTTCTGAATGCTTGTAGGAGGTTTGGTTATTGTAAACATAATTACAAAAATGTGTTTAAGAAAACTGGAAAATATTTTAAAGCTGTAAGAGAGATCAGAGCTTAGTCCAACTTCTACAGCTGTTATGTTTAAGGGATTTAGGATTCTACCATGGATCACATGAATTTGCATAATGTGAAGCTGCTTTGTATATGTCATAGTAAGCCTTTTCCTGTGTCATGTTTATTTTAAGAAGTGGTTTTGAGCACAGTAGTTTACATACTCTAGGTGACTACTTTTCATTACTAATGAGTAGCAGAGACATTGGACTACATCACACTAGAGTGGAATGGATTGTCACTTTAACAGCACAAAATATTTTTCAGTAGCAGCCTATGACTTTGTACTTTTGAATTCCAAACTTCTCATATTGCTTAATTAAATTGCCAGGGTTTAACACTTAGTGTACCTTGAGCAAAAGCACATGCGGCTGAGGAGATAATGAAATTCCATGTGAAGAAAAGTTACTGTTGCAGCCTAGCTGTACATTTCAGTTAATGTATTACAATTAAAATATTTTCAAAATCATATAGGAATACAACCAATACTTGAAAAAGAATAGTAAGTGAATATTTTAAAGGGCTGAAGGGAACTGTTTTAATAAAACTTGTATCTTATTTTCCAGGGCTAATACATTATTTAAGTTTTACTGTTCACTCTAGAGCATCAGGTCCATTTTAAACTTCTGAGTAGTGTCTTACAGGAGTCTGTAGAATTCTACATGGTATCCAGGTGAATATTTCAAAAATTTTATGGATGTGCAATCAAGTAATAGGCAGTACTTCTAATAGTGGTGCTTTCTTTTTCTGCCTTTTTTTTTTTTTTTTTTAAATCAGATACCAGAAGCTTTGGGTTATGTTCGTCAGGCTCTGCAACTACAGGGAGATGATGCCAACTCTCTTCATCTCCTTGCGCTCTTGCTATCAGCCCAGAAACACTATCATGATGCTTTGAATATCATTGATATGGCCTTGAGTGAATATCCAGAAAATTTTATGTGAGTGAATGTCATGTTTGCTTTCTATGCTTTCTCTCATATTTGTTTTTCTTAGATCCTCATCTCATTCATGTAAAGAGGGGGTGGAGTTGAAGATTGGTCTGTTGTTCAGGGTTTTTTTTCCAACAGTGTTCCCCCCTGCCCATTTAATGCAAGTCTGCTTTTTATTAAAGGCTTGTTAAGTAGTGATTAAGTATTCAGTTTTGGAAGGGAGGCTAGAGCTGAATAGTTGATGTTATTTTGTCTTTTTTCTACAGACTCTTTGTTTAGATAATTTCTCCCTGTTGCATGCTTTAGAGTATTTTTGCTGTCCTCTGTTTTTATGCAATATTCTAAGAAGGATAAACAGGACTTTGCTATTAGCTAGGATAGATTTATCCTACAGATAACTCCATGTCTATTGTATGGAATCTATTCTGTAAAATACATCGTAACAGAGAATCTCCTCTTTTGCCCTTATAATAATCAGTCATATGAAATTGGCTGATGGATAACTAAATAAGTGACAGGGAAGAAACACATTTGGTAGGTGTTCTCTTGTGGTTTAAGAGAGAAATCATTCTTTGTGTTTATTCTTCATGTTAAGTATATCTTAAAATACGTTTGGATTTTGTACTTTTATAAGGGGTTTTTTTATTTTTAATTTTCTTATGAAAATCTAATGAAACACTTCACAGAGAAATATATCAGGGACAGCTTCCATTAACTTCCAATGTTCCATTCCGATGCTTTACCAACAGTTACTAAAGTTGTAATCTGCAGTATTACAAATATCCTAAATGCTTATTTAGACAATTTTTTTAACTATCTCAATTTTAACTTTTAAATGACTGGCCTGTATCACAAGTTGTTACTATATCAACATACCAGAAAAATATGATTTCTTTAACAATTATTAATGTGAAAACAGGAATTACAATGTTTTTCCTTCCTGTTCCTTGACATTTCATGCCTCTTTTTGGCTGTCTATATAAGGTAATGTTGCCTTTTTCCTCATAAATCTGACCAGGACCTCTGTTGATACCACCTCTCCTCAGAACTTCTGTGGCTCACGGCCAGTTCTGTGCAACTGCTTTTGTGGCCTTTTGCTGATTCTCTCTTCCTGGTTTATCCACACACGTATGACTTGTCTCTGTTCTTATTAGGGGCTTCCACACATGCTTCATGATTTCAGAACTCTCTAGAAGTTCCTCTCCCAAACCTGTCTGAGGGACCTCTCAGTAAGTCATTGTCTGAGGCAATTGGCGTATCAGCTCAACTTTATACCCTCTTGTTGTTAGAAACAAGCACATTCAAAGCACCATGGCCTGTCATCTTCTATCTGTTCTTGGTTCATCTTCTACCACTTAGTGGCAATGTAAGTGATGAAGATGAGGCTGCTATATCTCTCAGAATATCAACAGTCTAGAAGTGTTTCTGAAACTGCAGTTCTCCCTGTTGTAATAAGAGAACAAAGGATCATTCAGTAAAGTGTTTAAAATTACTCCTGTGAGCTTTCAAAAGGTATTTATGGGTTTTTCAAATATGGTTCACTTCTTTATAATTGCATCTTGTGGTTAAACATGTTGCCTGAGTTGCTTTAAAAAGTACTGACCTTTCTATTACTGTATGGATGTATATTAATCATATGGGTCATAGTGGTGGTTCTAAATTGTTAGTCCTTAGTTTGTATTGTATAATACAAACACCATGCTGATACAGTGTACTATGTTACAGCATACTGGTACAGATCAGGGAATTTGAGAGGAATATCTTGGCAGTAGGAATCGCCATCAGATGTGGCAACAATTGCTGAAGAACCCAAGGTGAAACACAGCTATATGAGAATCTAGACAGTCTTTTACAGCCTTGTTTTTAGTGCTGTCCAGTTAATTCTGGTTCCCAGAGAAGTCAAGGATACGATTGAGATTCCTTGTCTGCTCCCTGCAGTTCATACTGACAGCCAGGCAGACACATCTGGTCAATCATATAAATTTGGTTTGATTCCTTCATGTAACTGGGTTATTTTTTGCAAGGATCTATCAGCAAAACCTCAAGTTTACAGTCTGTTCTTGCACACTATATCTGGTGCTCTTGAAATGGTTGACAGTGCGTATGGGCATATATATAAAAAATATAAACCACAAATGCTTAGTGTATTGTTGATCTATTTTCTTGTTCTGCAATTTCTGTAAACATTACAATCTCACGTACTTCCTAGCAAACTGGGAAGAGATCCTCTTGTGTTCCTCTAAGGCTTGCTAATTCTAAGATATACTGAAACATTTGATTATTCACCTATGGTATTTTATTGACTTTTGTATCACTTCAAATATCATAATGTTTTACATTTTATCTTTTGGTTATGTCTGCAATCCCAGTAAGCCAAAGAGTACAAGACTTTTCTTGGTATTCTCTGTATTTCTGTTAGAATGAATCCATTACCTCAGCCTTATGGAAATTGGTACTTTGGTAGTTTTGCAGCACAATAAATCTCTGTACTTGGAAAATATTAAAGTAAAACATAGGGCTTGTGATTTATGTTATTTCTTATTTCTTTTACTGGTATTCTTATTTGCATACCTCTGTATGCTGTAGTTGCACTGCTGTACTGAGTGCTGTCCTGCCCTATTCACAGCTGTGTGGGTTTTTTTGTTTTGCTTTTCTTTGAAAAGAATCTAAATTTTCAGAAGATTATAATACTACATCTTTGTCAAATGCCAGAGGTTGCAAGGAAGTCATAGAATACACTGTGAGTCATGCCGAAAGTGGATACTTCCCAGCACTCTTCTGTAGTCAATTAGTAAATATATTGCCTGTCAGTTTTTAACCTTTGAAAATCTATTGCATTTCTAGAATTCATGTTCAATATTTGAGGTGTATAGCAAGCATACCTTTGTATCATAAAATAGCATTAACCTTCCTGCACTGTAGAGCTAGGAAGTTGCTGACCAAACGTGGCCATGCACCTCTGGGTCAATAAGTAGAAAAGAAATTCCTCAGAGCCAAAGACCTCTGTTCCAGGAGTGGAAGGAATGAGCAAATGTCACATTGTGCTGTCAGCAGCAAGGTATAGCTTTTTCTTTGAATAGAGTTGATTGTTCTTCCTTTGTTCGTTATATTGGCAGCACAAATATGCAGTCTTCTCTGAGACCTTAAGGGGTATAGGAAGAACTATTGGTGAAAGTCTAAGAAACGTCTAAAAATGAAATAGGTACATAGTAACGTTTTCCAGAAATAATCAAAATGCAAGATATGTGCTGAATATCTATAGCACTATCATTTCAAACTTTTTGTAAGCTTAAAATGCTAGGTTGTAACCATGCTACTGATAAACAAGTCACCTGTGTTTTTCAGAGCAATACAATCAGTCTACTTTTAAATGCTAGCTAACCTCTGAAGCCTCCAGAAATCTGAGAGTGCTTTGACCCAGGGCCAAAAAGATCTCTAGACAGAAGATTACTGAACAAATTAAGATTGCTGAAAAGATTATGAATACCATCTCTGGTGAGATGGGTAGGAGTAAGGTGCCAGCTGAATAGTTCATCTCAGTCAGGTCCTGCTGCATTTGAATTCATCTAAAGTTACACTGCTCTTCCCCACCTTTCATTAGACAAATTGTCCCTGTAGTAGAAATGTGAAGTCCAGTTCTTCTCCAGCTTGACAGAATTTGAACCCACAGATGATGCAGCTCAGAGTCTGACAGAAGCAGGGACATGCTGCCCTGGATGCAAAGACAGTAGGCAGGAGGGAGCCACAATATATCCTAAATTACTAGAGTACTTAACTATGAAGGAGGCTTGAGGTCTTAGCTGCTTGGGTTTTCCTTGAATTTTATTTATTTTAATCCAATGATTGCCTACTCTGAATGTACAAGCAGTCCCAGAGGCATGCATTACAGTCCGAAGGTGTATTCAAGGTGATGCGAAATAATGGTGGTTGTGTTGCATTGGTTCATATGGGGTTTGTGTATCTTGTGCAATGTATATAGTAGTTATATATGTGATTACCTGAGGAACCTGATTTACAAACCCCTTTCCATGACTCTTTCCTGTCTTTTTATCTGCTTGTTATGAGGAATCTACATCATAGTGGTCTTTTGAATGGTATGAAATCTTGAAACAACACTTCTATCTGTTTCTACTTCATCGTTAATCAAAAGTCAATTCTCAGTCAAGGGAGACAGAGTTAGTTTCTTAATGAAATACTTGCGATGCTGTTTTCTTAATCTTAGCTGTTTGGGGTTCCCTTGTTATTTTAAGTGCTAGGGCACTTAAAGATGAATATAGTGCCTGAAATTAGTGTAATTAGGCAAAATAAATAATAAATATTAATTGCTAATTTTATGCTGAAAATTGAACTGCAGTGGATAGCAGCTGACAAGCTTTTAAAGTAGCAGAAGTAGGGAACAGCAGATGGGTTATTTGAGGAGTGCAAGCATGTTATTTTAATGTTAAGTACACTCAAAAAAGGAAAGACATATGGTAACAGGTTTGAAGACAACTGAAGACTAAGTTCACAGTTTAAACATTTACATTTGTTGAAGTGTGATGGAAATTTTTTTTCTTCCAAACATATTTCACAGAAGCATCAGGCCAATATCTCACTCCTCTGAAAACTATTAAATCCTTTCCTTCCTGATCCTCGAGGGCTCTTTTGAGCTACGTTAGGTTCCCCAGAATCGCAGAGCCTTTTTAACATCCCTCTCAGTTCATTGATTAACAAACTTGATTCCTTCTGGTAGTTTTCCGGGTGGGCACAACAGAAGAGCTGGTTGATGCACGCAGTGTGTGATGATACATACACTGATGTTTTGCAGGATAGGGGTGTATTTATCAGTTAAAGGGAATAGACTATGCTATTCTGTTGTCCTAAGGTCGATTGTAGTTGCACTGTAGTGTGTGGTGCTGGTTAAACTTGCAATTTTTTTTTTTCCTTGATAAACAGAACACTTGGATTTATTTGAGGAAAGGGCAGTAATATATGATTGGACAAGAAGCAGTGATCTGCTAGGCTTGCCA